TATATATATAAATATCAAATTTTAGCAGATATGGATATAAACTTTTCTTACTGAGATATATCTATATCTGTATCTGTATCTGTATCTGAGATGGGTAAACGAATATAGATATGGTAAGTATCATATTTGAGCTGTATCCAGACCAAATGCATCCCTTATTCGAATCCTCTCACTACTTAATTACAACCATTGCTTATCTTGTGGGTGGTTTATGAACTTTTTTAGTCAATTAGGAACGAATACAATATACGAGGTACGATGAGTGTTAGAATTATAATGTATCACAACCACCCACTATATAATTAACGGTTAAAATTTATAATAGTGATCTCTTTGCTACTATTTTTTATAGTGGAGAGATTGTTTATTAATCAGAATATGGTAACTTAGCTAAAACAAGGTTCATGAGCACCCACAAGAATTTAATTTCGTGAAATACCTAAGGTCGTGCTTTGGTGATGCCTCTTTACCACACCTGTGTGTTTGATATCTATGGTCCAAAGGATCATGGGGAAGTTCTCTCGCTAAACCAAAAAACGAAAAAGTTATTGTGAGCTTTAAGCAAAACACACAAAAAATAGTACATTTTGCAAAATTTATTATGAAATAACAATACTTTTTTAGTTTGTATAAATTTAATTAAATAAAGGTTGTAGGCCATACCCTCATTTCGAATCATGTCTTCCTCATTGGACAAAGATTGTAGGCCAGCCTGCTGAGAAAGTCACAAACTATAAGTATCATATGAGTCCAATTAATATTTGGTTTCCAATATATGCTCTATGTCCTATCCAAAGTTGTTCGCTTGTACTTCTCTTTTTCTTTGTTTGTTAATGCACAGGCTTATATATATCAAAGCCAAATTGGTCTCCTTATCCTTTGAGAACCTCAAGTAGCCACGACTCCCAATTTTTTTTCTTAGCCTCTTTTAACGATGGATGAGGGAGTATATAATAGTAGATAGTGTACAAAATAGTATCACAGACAAGAAGAACTAGCGTTTATAAGTGGGCTCAATACACTTCGGCCCCATGTTGAAGAAATCAGTACATAAACCAAAAATGCTGATCAATTCAATTACACTTGCACTATTAATAGAAGTACAGATAATAAAGACTATAGCATGATAAGAATAGGTTTTGGCGACAGGAAGTCTAATGGAAATTTGAATATGAATTGCTCGCGATCATTTTAAAGCTCGTTTTATTACACGAAACTCTAAATTTATGATGAAAAGTGAAAGTTGTAATGTTATGGTGTGTTGAAGTAAACAACTCACCTACCCTCATCTACCGTGGTTGGGGTGAAAGTTGGTTTATTTGTAGAATCCATTACAATTGTTTATCAATTACAGATTCAAAAGAGTTAATCTTTTTATAAGATTACTCGCTTACACAAAAAAAACAAAAAAATTACAACTCTCTTCAAACACACGCAGAGGATGTTTATCACCCGCTGCTTGCGTGAGATCTTTGCATGTGTCAGGGATACGTTAGTCTATGGACCGCCGTGGATCAGATCTGGTTGACAAAACAAAATTTTAATGATCTTGCTTCATAAAAGAAACAATCACAGAAGTGATAATCTCGACCAAGCGAGATTACGACTCTTCTCGAGATCAAAACAAAGTCTGATCTCAAGGAATGATGAAACAGACCCCAGGTCCTTCAAATAGCTCCCTCTTTATGCTGGAGTTCGCCAAGATCTGCTAGCCCTCCTCTAAAATTCGTGGTTCACTCTCCAATTTGACAGCACCTCGCCTCCAATTTTCAGATTCTGTGAATAAGGGCCCTAGGCTTGTATTTATAGACTTCAGAAGCTTTGTTTTCAGATAAGATTTGATGATTTGGCCATATCTTGAGTTAATAACGGCCTAACCATATTTAGATATGATATCCAAGCAGTTAGGAGGCTCTGGAACCAACAAATCCCAAGAAAACAGTTAAAAACACGTTTTGGAGGTTTCGGGTGCGAGTCAGTCCAACGTTATCCGCAGGCTTGCGCGTCACCTTAAGGTGACTCGGACCTGTGCGGGTCACATTAGAGTGACCTACATGGTATTTTGGCCTTAACTCCCACGTCCGACCTCGGAATGAGGTGATTCAAGCTGAGTTGAAAAGATAACGAATAGAGCTATAACTTTTATCTTTTGACCTTTTCCATATTCGATGCGAGCCATATTGAAAATAATACTTTTTCATGCGGGTCACCTCAAGGTGACCCGCACATGTGCAAGTCACCTTACTATGACCTGCACAGTAGTTTGGCCTTAACTCTCATGTACGACCTCGGAATAAGATAATTTAATATGCGTTAAAAAGCTAACGAAGAGTGCTACAACTTTTATCTTTTGAGATTTTTTGATTTGAATCATATCATGGTCAAAATATTACTTCTTTGTGTGGGTCACCTCAAAGTAATCTGATTGTATTTGCTTCTTCGTTTCACACATTTCTACGTTTCACGTGCGTTCTTTCACTTCTTTTTTTATGGCATCAGATGATCCACTTTAACTCAAATAATTCTTTCTGACTTGGATAATAGCGTTCATTGCCTTCTCTCTATTTCGAACTACGTGCGGGAACCTATAGGTAATTCTTAACGGCTACAGATACCCCCTCTAAAGTGTTTCTGGCTTATTTTTTTATAGAGAAGCCTAGAATACTTTGGATATGATAGGCTCAATCTTCAATTCTTATATTCTTTATCTTTCAGCATATTCAGTAATTTGTCGAATAGCTAAAATTCTTCCGGTGATGTGTTTATCGACTGACTGTAACTGAAACCGATGTGTTGATATCTGAATTTAGTTCGTGTCATTGGGTTGACGTTGAACTGATCATTCTCATAGGGAGTTTGTATCTGAATCATGATTAAACTCCCTAAATTAATTGAATTGATATTTCATCCTGAGCCTTGTTTTGGCAAAAATTGTCGATGTATCGGCTGGCATAGACCTTCATTAAAATGCATTGAACGGTGTGGACTTTCATCTACCACATGTTGATCGGCATTGGGACGTGGTAGGACCAAGTGTAGAGACTGCAAGACTAACTGTTGGTTCATCTGCTTGTACGGAGTTTCTCTTGACGTGACTATTATATATTTGTCGGGTTTTACTTAACCACAGGGAAGTTTTGGTTGTGGGACTAGCCATTGGAGCTGATACGACCACAACCACTGGAGAGGCTTCTTTGATGCTGTCTTGTGTGTGAGAGATAATATATCATGCCCCGTGTGTCTGAGATGGGTTCAATTGTCTCGCTTGAAGAAAGGTGATTGCCGGGCTGGATTTGATGTTGTCTCGGATGATCAAATTACGAGACCAACTGATAAAGCTGGTGCATCAATGACTATCATATTTATAGGATTTTTGGTAAACCCTCAGTCATCAAGAGGTTTGATGAGCCTTTACCGACTACTGTTTGAGTCGGGCTAGCATACGGACTGTTTAAGTCCGTTCTGCATGTAACGTTGTGCTAAGAGAATAAACTCTTTTAGACTTGGTGCTATGATATTGAATACATAGGCTTGGTCATTTTTGTGGGAACAGACTACCCGACAACATGTGTTACGCGTAGACTTATCTCTATTTAAGAGTCGAGATAAAGTTCCTCATGCGTGAGACGCATGAAATTTGGTACTGAGGAGCCGTGTTGTGTCTTTTCTTAGGGCATAGACGAACCATGTGCTAGAGAGGAAGAATTTTATATTCTATCTATAGGTGCAAAAGAAACTCAAAGTAGGATCTCCACCTCAAGAATCTGAAGGGTGAAACTAAGATTGGGATCTCTACTCTGAGAATCAAAAATATTTAGATAACCCTAACTATTTAAAGGTTTGGTTGTCTAATCTGAAGAATGATTTCTCATTTATCAAGATAAACTTCTAAATTTAGCCCTAACTATTTACAGGTTTGACCAGAGAGGAGATTGAGACGATCCTAACTGTTTAAAAGTTTGATCGCTCGATGTGGGTGGAGGTCTTTTGTTTATTGAAAGGGAATTTCAGTTTTGGTCCTAACTATTTAAAGGTTTGACCGAGTGAGGTTTGGAACGACTCTAACTGTTTAAAGGTTTAATCGTCCAATTTGGAAGTTAACCACTTATTTGTGGAAGGAATCAAGAGAGGATTTTAGTTGTGGTCCTAACTGTTTAAAGGTTTGACCAAGT